ATGGGGAAGATTTCTGGGGCAACCTGAGGATATGATTTCACTATGAAAGTTTGAGGTGGAGGGAACCTGAGTTTAAGGCGGAGCATGGGTCACGAAATACGGTCATTGGTTTTACTCGAGCAAGTGCAAAAGGCGAAAACAAAAGTCAAAAGCAGTGGATGATGACAAGTGAGAGAAAGTGAAAAGCGATGTATGAGCGAGCGAGAGAGAGAGAGACGGAAAAGCAAAAGATTAAACGAGTCACTCAGCAAAAAAACTCGCAAAAAGGGCGAATTGTCTATGAGGAAGAGGTTTCCGCAAAAACATGAATAAAACTTTTCACGTTGAACAAACAAGCAAAATAATGAATGACTTGACCCAATTGGGTGGAGTGAGTGAGTGAGTGAATCGATCATCCAGAAGCAATGGGTATGGTGTTGTGATGGAATGTTGCATTGCATTGTGAGTTGTCAGAAGGGTTCCAAGGTTCCTGGATGCTTCAAGGATTGCTGGGAGACATGACCCAGGATGGACGTCATCAATTCCGGGTGTTTTCAACTGTGAGCCAGGCCTAGCCAGCACCTTCAGAGCTGAGGGTTGCAGGCGAACATCAGCGGCCGTTTATTTAATGCTGGCAGGCAGAAATCCCATTGGCTCGGGGAGGACAAGCCCCAAGCCTTGAAGGCCATTTGAGTGTGGCAGACCCAACCAAGCAAGCCAGCGCTGCAGGCTTTGTAGAGCTCGTGACTTGATCAATTGGCTTTTGGTTTTTTTGCGAGAGGAGAGCAGCGAGAGAGAGAGTCAGATCTGAGCACATGTTGTCAAAGCATGAATCTCTGAGACAATTTTCATCATTCAGTCTTGTTAACTCCTTGAAAATGCTCTGCATCTCAAGGAGATCACTTGTAAGCCAACCAAACTGTCGGTAGTAAATGGCGTGAGTCGCTAGACAAAAAGGAACATGGGACTTTACGATAATACCCGTAGTCTGATCGAGCGGTCAGTGATACTGGCTGCTGCTTTTAGTCGTTTCTCTAGCATAGGGCAGTGCTGTCTTTGTTGGGGATACCTTACCTATGGATGCAAGCTAACAAAGCGCAGTTACTGTAGTAAACAACACACTCTAAGGCAAGGTCAACAACACGAGGTCAAGTTAGAACCGTCGTGAGCCGGTCTCCAGCGACAAGTTTTACAAGATGACCATTGACATGAAACGACTGGCTTGGCAACTCCAACACCATCTCCAGGGCTGCCAAGCCATCGGCACTCGCTTCTGGGACCTGGAACGCGCCATTGAGTTTTTTTCCCTTTACATGGGTTATCATCTCAAGTCGACCTGAATTGAAAGGGTGTCCGGCATCGGTATTCAGAAACTGGTCCCAGCCTCTCATCAATAAGTCAAGTGTAAGCTGAAGGGGCACACCCGGACGCTAAGAACAACACGCGTAAGTCCAAACGACTCCCTTGTATCTCCGCCCTCGGCCAAAATACTAGACTTCGGGGGTTCTATTCCTTGGAATATACCTGGGCAGACGGACGGATCTTTCTGGCAGCCTTTCTTCTTGCGTTCCTGTTATGTACCTGAAATTGGAGGGTTTAATTGTATGGGTTGCAGCGACAAGCCACGAATGGGAAATGTAGCATTAGGCAATCCATAGTTAGCTATTTTGAGTTTTTAACTCTGACTGCATGTGCATGATGATAGTTCTTTATGTAATTGAAGATGGCAGACATCTAGAGACGCGATTGACATATGATTGAAGCAACCCAACGTGCATCTCGTATCATCCAAACTACTACATTCTACCATCAGCTCTACACCAGCACAATGTACTTCCGGTTCTAGACGCATGTGCCTAGTCCAGACCATTGAATTATCGAAACGCGTCTTTTGGCTCACTCTGCTCATGGACACCTGCGGAGCCGCAGCCGTTCCGTATTTCCAACATTCTAGAGCTCACGAGCTAGGCGCCACATCGCGAATCAAATGAGAGGAGGACGGACTCATACTCCGTGACTGAGAATGGATTGTTTCAAAAGGATTTGCGCAAAAGGAGGCTGGATAAGGAGACGTGTTTGAAGTTAGTCATTTCTGACAAGCTGTGGCAGAGATGCAATGATAGCCAGTCAATTGCTTCACCTACGACTCCTCCCTGCGTGCGGGGAAGTCAAGCCAGAGACCTTTCAAAGGCAGAGAGGCAAAGGGAACCAGAGACAGCGACGCCTCTCCCGCTTGTGATTTTCCGGGGAAGTCCATGGCATCGTCAACAGTGACAGACAGAGACACTCTCACACAGCCAGGCATCCCATCCCGCATGTACGTACAGTAAGCAGAAGCCATTGACTCTGTGTGCCTGAGCTCAGACTCACTCGTATTCAACCACATACTTTTCTAAGCGTCAATGGCGTTTAGACGAAAACCAAATCTTAGCATCTCCCCTCTTTTTGATGAAGCTTTGACGTGTTCAATTCCCCAGAAAAAAAAAAGAACCACATGTTGCTGACTTAACTGCGGAGAATCTGGAGAATTTTCCGTGGTCACCCGACTATCCTTTTCTTCTCTCCGCATAATTAGCAAATTTGCCTTCAGGTGAGATCACATGGTGTTGTTCAGGTTTGGCATTTAAACGAATTGCAATTCTGTCCCCACAGAATTGTCAGTTTGCTTTTTGCGATATGTGCGCTTGGAGCTTTCAGCACCTCTTGGGTCATGAGAAAACGAAACTAGACCAATTGAGGATGTTGGCAGAAGGGGGGGGGGGGGGGGTGCGATGTGCCTTGTCTCGTGGCTGAAAGGAAAGGGATTTCGCATCGTCGGGACTCTCTCACTGTTACTGGTACATAGGGTGCAGGGAGTGTTTAAAGTCTGAGTCAGAAAGAAGAGCAGCGCAAAGCATCTGTCAGAGAGGAAAAGATGTCGTTTTTAGGCTAAACCGAATACTGGAAAAATCGAGACCAGGTCCCCGTAAATGGCGGGTGAATGTTTTCCGACCAATGAGAAGCGGGGATTAAATGTTTTGCTTGGGGAGTGAGCAGCGGAAATAAGACGAGTCAGATTGGTTCAATTGCCGATCGGAAACTCGGGGTGGGAAATAGGACCCTGCATGAGTTTACTGAGAGCTTGCGTTTGTGTTGGTTTGAGCCATCTTCGAAGCTCCCGGATATTTGAGCCCCAATGCCGCTTATTTCACTGTGCCGAGGGCTTTGAAGAATGCTGCCTTGGATATATGTAAAGCCTCATGCTATCCCGCCTGTTCTGGACTGCCGGGCCAAGCTCATGCGGCTTTTCAGGTCGCTTTCTCCTCCGGCCTCACATCCATAACCGTGACCATAGCATTCCTGGTCACCTTAAACTAAGTTAAGCGCTCCGAAGGCTCGGGATTCTCATGTCTCGCAGCTCACATGTGCCATGGCTACGCTCCATTTCATTGAAACTCTCCTCGGCACAGACAGGCAGCCATGGATCTAATGTCGGTCAAATTCGGCATCCAATTCTGAGGACTCTTTTCCATCCATTGTCTTTCCTTTCAGGGCTCCATCCGGCGGAGGTGGGGCCCCCATCCGGCGGGCGTCGGGTGTCCACTTCACTGTCCGGAAGCTGGCTGCTTGTTAGGTATTATGCTCTCGGAAACGCAAAGAGGGCTTTTTTATCCGGGCAAAATGATAGAATGCCGTGCAATGCATGCAACAAGGGTCTTTTTTTGATGTACATGCTTGTGCTCAATTTTGAGCTGACGCTTGACCGTCTTTCAGGTGTTTAATGCCGCTCATTCACCGCTTGGTCCTATTGCGTGCGTGCTCGCTACAGAGTCAAGCAGAGGAGAATTTTCACATCTGATGCCGGACAAGAGGGTGCAAACAGGAGCCTGGAGATGCAATGCATCCAGTCAACCGACCCCTTCTCCAGAATGAGCTGCAGATCCTTCTCGCTGCCAAGTTAATGGTCACTGGCAGCGAATCTACAGCACGCCAAGGTTCCTGAATCGAAAGGAATGCCGACAGATCTAAGTTAGAGACGGGTCATGGCTGACATCAGAAGGGCCTCACGTGGGTTGAGAGCTGTAGCCTCCGCTGCGAGCGTCCCCCCTACACTTTACTTTGCAGCACCTGTCAAAAGGACATGCCCCCTGTGACCTGATCAACCTTTAGCCGGAGCAAGCCTTGTTGACCTCGCCTTGCCTCAAGTGGAAACGTATTCCTCGTGGCCTATGACATCGTTTGCCTGCATGAGTCGCGAGCATCTACTTGTACCTAGGTACAAGCCCCGGATCTAATAAGTCTCGGCGTCAAGTAAGAAAAATGCATTCCGTTTCGAAAAAACAGGAACTAATTAATTCAATTGACTGATATTGAATAAACTAAATTGAATCATTGGTTCCGATTATTGTCTACCCCAGCCACCGTTAGAGTTTGACTACTGGCAACCCACGATCCTCCCCAGACGGGGCTGCGACTAGGTAATGACAAAGGGTTCACTGGGGTTTGCGGAACCATCATCCACTGACACGAGAAATTACAGGATACCAGGTGGCAGCCACGAACAAGATTCGGGGCTGCTTACTTAACTCTTACTATTTAATTACTGACCGGAAACCCACCGAGAGTCTGAGATGCTGGGCCTTTGCCGTTTTTGGTGTATTTCACGTGTATTGAAACCCCAGAACCTATTGACTGGAGACTGGATGTCCATGTATCAATGGCAAACAATGTCTAAAACGGTCCACCTTGTAATGAGATCAACGATGGAGAAGCCATCGAGAAGGAAACCACAAAACGAAAAGGCTGTGGTGTGCAATAACAAAAATCAGGCACATGTTGTGATATCGCGATTGTCCTCTCAACAAAGCAACAAGTTTTACGAGCCAGGACTGGTGATCAAATAAACAACGTCACAACGGGTATGCAGGGCTGCTATCCCGTCCTGCAGCCTACAACTTAAACAGTGGTCAACATCGAAACCTCGAGTTGATATCGATGTTTCTGCTTCTCCAAGATCCATCGAGATCTGGGGTGCCGCTACGTCATACTCTGGGGTGCAAGTGGTGCGTTCTCGCGACACCCCAGAATCTCCAAATCTCGCAGATCTTGCGCTCAAAGAGCCCGCATCGGAACATCACGCGGCTATAGATCTGGGCAGTGAGAATGGGATTTTCGCATTCTTTGGTGTTGATGCGCTGTCGATGATGCAAACGGGTTGTAGTGTTTTGATGTCGAGACGAGGTCATCTCGCCTGTCTATGACCGAATAGTGAACCGGAAATGAAACATACATTTTACTTCTGGTCGGGAACTGACCACGGGAAGAGCTGTTGCGCACCAACCATCTCCCACAAGAACAGCCATAACACACTCAGACACTTCATCAGGGACAAACGGTGCTTTGTCTTTGAGCGCCCGTTTTCGGAGTCTTGGGACTTGGGAACACAAGCGCGGCAATCTGACGATCCACATCGACATTGACACCTCAGGCTCACATTACATATACTTACATTCATGATGGTGTTGTCCAAGCACAAGCACGGGCCTTCCTCTATCCCTATCATGGCTGGTGGTGTACGGACTTGACTCCGACGTGCCCCGACCAATCGCCCATCACCCTCAGGAGACCTCAAGGCCTTCTAGAAGTCTTCTCCCGCACATGGAGAAGAACACCTCACACCTCCATCAATTTTCTCTCGATCACGCGCGGGTTAAAGTTGAGGCTGAAAAGGGCAACTGTTGACGATGCGGCAGATGATGATTCTGAGCTAAACAAACAACGCGGTATTTTCTGGCATCTCGTCAAAGACATCACACTGTGAAATGCATCTTGAGGTCTTGTTAGTTCATCAACAACCCGACAATGGCTCTCGACGAATGAGAAAATCGAGAAATCAGTAATTTAAATCCGTATTTTATCCCTCATCTCCACTCAAATCTCTGTTCGGGTCCATAGTGGAGAAGATATCTCGAACGGAACAGTTTGGCCTCCCTGTAATCAGCCTTGTAAACTCTAATGCAAACGGTTATGGTTGGGCATCAAAATCTGGTTCTTGCATCATCATTCTCCGCTGTGCCCCGATATCAACCAGACAGAGACGACTCATGAGATATCGTGAGATCAAAATGGATCCAGAAGGTCTCCAGAACAAACTCCAAAAAAAAAACTCCAACAATATCACATCTCCACTGATAAGAATCGTCTTGTTCCCGGCGACTTTACGGCGCTCCTCGGCCCCTCAATAATGCCTTTTTGCTCGGACGGGACCCTCATCCATCACCGTTTGCATGTCTCGCCGCGGCCCTTCTGAAAGCCATTGATATCAGTTGAACCGTTACCGCCTCTGTCGGTCCGGCAATGGCAGGGTAATTGATATTCCCTCATTGGTGCTGCTGTGACAAATTAATGGATCCCTTTTCATACTTTCACTAACTCGTTGACATTTTTGACACGTGAAATCCCCGTGGCTGTGTCATATTCCTAGCCACGAGGAGGTAAAGTCGACAATATTGGGTCCGCCATGAGATTCTATCGATAATCGCCATGTGGGCATGCGTTTCAAGGTCCATTATCAACGGAGTCGCCGATGAGGGGACAGCAGTTGGAGATGGTGGAGGATGCGAAGCACGATTCAAGTTCATTTGCATCTGTTGGAGTGGCTTGGCTGATCCAATATCTGCGCTTCCGGTCCAAGGTTGTGCAGCCGCGTCTTGGGAACCTTGGATGAATTGGATACCGACAAGAGGTTCCCCTTTGAGAACACCACTCGAAGCTTAGACTTGCCGAATATGAAGCCGACTGGGTAACTTTAGTTGACTGTCGCCCTTAACTTAGTGCTTAGCTTAAGCAGATGTCAATTTCCTGCGTTTTGGAGGTATCTCATGTACCTACAGGCTACCACCATTTCTTCAGCGTCCCACGTGGTGAAGGTTCTCCGCACTCACCAAAGTGGCCGCCGTTGATATTCCCTCTTTAGTATCTTCTGCCGAGAGTCTAAAGCCATTGTGCCGCGGCCGGTAATTGATTCAAGTTGGGGGGATGGAACGATGTCGACCATTGACGACTATTGAAATCAGCCTTGGTATTGTTGAGATGTTGTGTTTGCAACGCCAAGTTGACTGTCATGTGCGACTCGTCGGCCATTCTTGCGCGAGCGGCTGAATTGCCAACATCCTATTACAGAGGCTAAGCATTGATATACCGAAACGTGCCAGATATGGCTATAGTAAATGCCTAGACTCGCTGTCTAGTTGTGTGCGGTACCACCAGTGTGGTTTTAGCATAAAGCCATCATATCAATCGAAGAATAAGCCTCCTCATCGGCCCATACCTATACAATATGCTCTGTGTAACAGCTGAGGGCTTTGGATGGTGGTGTAGGCAAAGGTGTCTTCTGATGCTGTGAATTACCCAGTGCACTTGGCTGATAAGACGAGATTATCACAAAACACGCAAATCGCTACAGTTCTTATCCAGGGTCCTTGACTAATAATCGTTGACTGGTAATCGGCAGCCAGGCTGCGCCTCTGCTGAGACGGGCAGGTCGTGCATATCAAACTCTCGTTACCCCAGACCCCAGGTTTTACCAGGCATAATAGCCTGCAGGGCCTTGTGCCTGCTGACATGGGATCATGCCACGGGGAGCCTCTGGCTTCCAGGCCATTGGCTTTCCATGTGCTTTGCTGTCAACTGTCACTGCCAAAGTTGCCACCCCCTCCCGAGCCAACTCGACCCCCAAATTCGTCCGAATTTCCCCAACTTCCCAAAGAAACGGTTCTGCGTGGGTTTGAAATTAAGAAGCCGAAGAACCCCCATGTTCCGGGGAAGACAGTAGGGGTCAGCCGACGGAGAAACTATGCCGTGCAAACGAAGAGGAAAGACCCTGATCGGATCGGAGGGCCGTAATGTAATCAAAGAGGGAGATGATAAAAGATGGCAGCTTCTCCTTTTGGTTTGACAGGCGACATGTGATGGCCAGAGACGGAGGCCTGGTGATGGGTTGATGCGGAGAACCTGGATGCTGGCCATCTCATTCATGCGGATGCATCGAGGGTCTGATCCGCGGGCCCGGACACTCAGCAGTTGCTGTGCCTGAAGGTTGGTGGTATTCCCTCACCACAATAAAGAGGTGTCGATCTCACGGCCCGTGGCCATGAGGATGGTGGCATACGGGCCGAGTCGATGCGTTGGCACGCACAATGTGATAATGTCAGAGCAGAGCATCCCTGATCCAGAGTCGGTGTAAGGTTTATCTGTAATAACAATCGATCATATGAAAGTCGAGTGGCAGCCTATCCGTAGAGTTGACATACATATCATCGCTGATGCAAATAGCTCCCACGTGATGCCGAAAATGGACATTGAAACACCCCGTTTCAGCTACCTCGGTCAAGAAAGGATCTGATATGATGTCAGAGACTTTAACCTTGTCGAATGCCCAATACTCTATTGCTTAATCTGAAACGGGCTGTGTTACTGGAGGGTGGCATAGGGAACAGCCTCCGCGATGCCCTCATATAGATCTCAGATGACTATGTATGGCTGTAAGTCGAGGGATCGTCAGTCAACGGTGCCAATTACGGATGTGATACACAGTCAGTCTCGTACCGTAATCAACGCAACGCCCTTCTTTGGTCATATGACAAAGTATTTGTATAATCTACCTGGCTATCTAGATATAGGATCAGACCATAGACATATCGCTTCTGCATAGTATATTCGGTAGCGCTCACATACCATAGCTACATCGACTATCACACCGAGCACATTATCCCAATACCCACTTCGTGAATCATTTTAATTCTTTAGAATATTTCTATTGGCTACCTGCTTTTCTCAAGACCATTGTTGGGCCAAGGGGCAACTGGTTATCATCAGTCTCAGGAGTGTACATAGTAACATAAACCCTCGACTCGGGACCAAGTCAATTGATTGTCTTCCTACTAGTCGCGAGCTGATCATCGATGTTATATGTGACTCTACTGTTCCTAAAGTTTGTTAAATCGGCTCGCCAAAAGCATCCATTACATCATAACAAGATCTGCAATAGGGACTCGATCTTCAATGATGTCAAGCCATTCACGCGATGTCACTTTCTTGAAACTATTACAGGAACTTGACTTACTAGTCAGTCTTTGACAGGATGTCATGACTCGCAGGATTGATAAGTTCAAGACAAATCGAATGGTTGTCTTGATAGCTCGACCATACCCTGATACCCCAATTGCATTACCAAAGATCATTCAGCAGTTGAAAATCCGAAGAAGCTCAAGGGACCTGCGATAATTCCAAGCGAGGGGCCTCCAAGAAAATAGTAGGGATTATCGGAACTTTGGTTATCACTGTGAAGCACACAGTTTCTGCAGATGCAGAAGAGATACCTTGCTGTTCAGGTAATAGAGGTGATGATATCAGCTCGCTTGGGTAAACAGAGATTTATCTTATGCGATTATGATATATGATTCTTTTGTGACAATATCCGTTTAAATCTTATTGTGTCAAATTAATACCAAAGATGTCATGTCTTTGTGCTAATCGTTGTTAGAAGAAGTTCAAACAGGTAAAGGATCGCAAGTGTGCCCCATAACAATGGAAATATCAAGTGGACTGTCGTGAAAGCCTCTCGTTATAAAGATGTATTGAGGCTCAAGAAAGCATTGAAATTACAAATGCCAGTAAACAGACTCTTTCTATGGAGTCGTCCTTCACATATCGCTGAAATCACCAGCCATGATTCCGACAGCATATCCGTCTATTGTCGCCCATCCATGTGTTCCTTACACCTTCCTTACACCTTCCTTTCATCCATCATCAGTGGTGCTCAAAATTTTGGGCATTCAACATCTTTACCAACGTTCAGTGACCGTAAACGTTATGTAGAATGTCTTGATACGCGTGGCTTAGTATATCGCACCCAGCCCCGGTCTCCTGTAAGGGAAAGAAAACCAATTATTCGTTTTGCAGTTCTGAGTTTGTTGAAAAGTTTTGATCTCGATACGAATCATTCTGAAAAGCTATGTCTCCTTCTTGAGTCTCTTGGGATCGGCTGCACCTTGCTGGGTCTGATTATCTTGTTGCCGTTTCTGGTTTCCAGGGCCATTGGGGGGATTAGAGAGGATATTGTGCTTCAGCGTGGCAGGTCTAAAACTGTGAAAAGAAGAGTTTGGTTGAGAGCTGCCGTTGTGACTGAACGACCGTGAGCCTCCTGGCTGTATAGCACTCACTGCGCCGAACGTGGCCGCCGATCGTGTCTGTGTTCCGGAGCCCTGTGCCACATTGACTTGCGACCCTTGCTGATTCGCTCCGAGCTTGAAGTCAAAAATAGGATTCACATCTCGTGGTTGGTCGTCGAACCGAAAGCTCTGAGAGGGTGCCGGGGGTGGCGGCCATTGGTATGCTGACTGCTGGTAATAACGATTGTTCTTGTTTGATTCCTGTAGTTTGTTGTACCGAGTCCAAAGGCTCGAATAGTTGTGGC